TCTATTTTTACAGCTAAGAAGTGAAGCGCAGACTACACCATGATCTGCTCTACAATTTTGGTTCCACTGAATTGGAGGGAGGTGTCCCTAAAAAAAAAATGCAATAACCTCAGGCTGCAGCGCACGAGGTTTGCCAATGCGATCATGCGTTTTTGCACTAAACTTGGGATCGCTAAGAGTACGAATGGTTCCAGCACTGCGATTTTGTACGTGGATTCATACTGGCTGTGTTTTGGCTTTTTCCTGCATGCAGAGGAAACGGCATCAGCTGGAACGAAGGTGTTGCACTGTAGGATGCGTGAACCTCCAGCGTGCATGATTATCTGTTTTTTGCATGAAACTCGGGCGTTTTTTCGGTGAACGTTGGTCCACTGAAACCCAGACTGCCGGTGCGAGCATACGTTTCTGTTCAGCTGTTTACACAGGATTCACTCAGAAGCGAATGCATTTTGCAGCGAACGACCGCCCTCATCCTTTCCTAACATCCAGTTCCAGTTTTTTACTGAGTACTGGAAATGTTGCTAGAGCGATCGTTCGTCAAAAAAACCAAATATAAAAATGAGCTAGATGTTGGAAGAGAATGAGGGCGCTCGTTGCAAAATGCACTCGTTTCTGAGTTTATGATATACCCACCTACGGGGAATTTCACTTCCAAGCAGAATTAAGGCCGCACTTGAAATTAAAATATCCCAGCGAAGTTTCAGCCTCGCACATTGTCCGGTAAACGAAATAGCCACTTCGCTGCAAATATCTTTGAAGTGTCCTAAGTAATGGTGTAGGTGCAAATGAAAAATCAATTTAGGTGTACAAAAATGGACAAAATTTCAGTTATGCTTCCCGGCTAGTTTTCAAGTTGCCACAGTGCCATCTGCAAAATTTGACGTGACGCGGTACAAGCGTGTGTACTAGCTGAATTTGAAATCTTTTGTTCGTAAATGCACAGAGAATATTCCTACAAACTTTCAGCGTTCTGTCTTCCTTGGTTCCCAAAATCGCTTCCTGCCAATGAAATTAGCATATTCATTGGAAGCCCATACGTAGGATTTAGACGCATCTGAGCGATCACTTTAAAGCGGGAGGGGGACACTTTTTTAAATGGAAACACGCCTCCCAAAGTCTCAGTCCTCCAACTTTCCTGGTTGTTGAGTTGAAAGTGGGAACAAAGTTTACTCGTT